TGGGATTGCTCTGTTACTGAAATGTAGAGACTCCTAAGTATAAACTTCTCTCTTAGAAATGCTTTCCCTATTTTCCACAAATTCTGATTTTTTTCCATTGTCATTTGTTTCTAGGAATTGTTTTCTTCTCTATTTATGTGACCCAAGACTGTATGATTCAATCTCTGTATATGTGTGTAGTTTCTGTAGTTTCTTCCATAGATTTCTAGTTTCATTTCATTGTGATCTGACAGGATTATTTTGTATTTATTGAGTCATGCTTTATGGCCTAAAATATGGTCTGTTTTGAAGAAAGTTACATTGGTTGCTGAAAAGAATGTGTATTTTGCTGTTGTTGAATGCAGCACTCTGCCGGTATCTGGTAAATCTGTTTGTTCTATAGTGTAGTTTAACTCTTGATTTTTGTTGTTTCTGTTGATTTTTTTTTTCACGTAGTTGTGAAAGTCAGACGTTGAAATCCTCCACTATGATAGTATTGGTGTCTATCTGTCCTTTTATGTAAAGTAGTCTTTGTTTTATGATATTGGTGCACTGATAGTTTGTTTATATTTCCAGTTGTTATCTCTTCTTGATGAATTGTTCTCTACCAATATGTAATGACCTTCCTTGTCTCTTCAGACCAGATTTTGTTCATAGTTCACTGTGTCAGAAGTTAGAATAACTGTTTGCTTTTGGGATCCAGATGCATGGAATATCCTTTTCTACCGTTATACTTCAGTCTGTATGTGTCTTTGTGAATATGGTGTGCTTGTTGCAGGCAACATATATTTGGGTTGTTTTTTCCTCCATTCTGCCAGTCTGTGTTTTTTGATGGAAGACTTAAGACCATTCATACTGAACAGTATTATTGAAAAGTTTGCACTGATTGCTGTCATTATATTGTTTTTCCAGTGCTTGATTCCTTTCTTTTTTTGATTTATTTAACTACTGTGCCAGTGAGATTTATTCTTTCCCTTGTTCTCATTGATGGTGTTATCTTCCTTCTCTCTGTTTAGGATTCCCTTAAGTATTTTCTGCAGTGCTGGCTTGGTCATGATATTCTTTAGTTTATCTCTATTATGGAAAGTCTTTATTTTTCCTTTCATTTTGCAGGATAACTTTGTAGCACGCAGTAATCTGGATTGGCACTTACTTTCTTTTTAGCACTTGAAAACCTTCACTCCAAGCTTTCCTGACGTTTAAGGTTTGTGTTGGGAAATCTCATACTCTGTTTCCCCTGATAAGTGATTTGACACTTTTCTCTAACAGCTGTTAGTAGTCTCTCTTTGTTCTAAGTTTCCAGTATCTTGACTGTAACGTGTTACGGAGAAGTTCTTTTCTGGTTATGTGTGTTTGTATCCTTTACCTAGATATCCATGTCATTCCCTAGATTTGGGAGGTTTTCTGAAATAATTTAAGTGAATAAATTTTTTTTGCCATTATCCTCTAGCCCCTCCCTTGATTCTTAAATTTATTCTCGTAGAGTAGTCTAGGAACTCTTGGATAATCTTTTGATTGTCTCTTGTTGTTTTATCATTATTACTAACTGCTCTATTACATCCACCTGTCTTTAAGTGCTGATATCTTTTCTTTTGACTGATCCTGCCTAACGCTGACACCTTTTCCCTTCAATACTGGAGATTTAACCCATCATATTCACACTGAGCTACTGTCCGCTACCTTTTATTGGTGGGGGGGGCAGGGTCTCCATAAGTCACTAGGTTGTCCAGATGAGGGTTGAATTTGTGATTCTAGACTTTAACTTGTGATCCTACTACCCTTGTTTCACAGAGTGCTGGGAGTACATATGAGGGCACATGCCCAGCTACTGCAGACACTTTCGTCTGAGTTTTTCATTTCCAGGATTACTGCTTGCTTGCTTTTGTAACCTATAACTCTTCTGTAGTGGTCGTTCATATCCTGCATTATCTTTCCTTCATTCCTTCACCTTCTTATTTGTATTTTCTTTAAGCATGTTGATCATATTATTAAGTGATTCATTTAGCTATTTCTTTGTCTCTTCTTGCTCTTTAATCATTCTGTTGATTTTTTTACAATTCTTTGGAATTTCATCCACTTCATTTTCTCTAGGATTATCTTGGGGGAGTTAGGAGCTTTTATAGGCATATTTTTTTCCTTTTTTCCGTCATAGTTTTGTTTGTGTATAGAATTTTGCAGAGCAGATGTGAACTTTTCCAGATACAATGTGGACATCTTTTTTGTGAGTGGTTCTCTCTTTGTTATATGTACCTGGGATTGTGGGTTTGTTTCTCTTTTATCTGTTCTAAATAGTAAGTTAAATTCAACTCCTAACACCATTTTGAGTGGAGTTGTGTACTATTTTACTATCCCAGGAAAAGACAGGAAAAATAATAAAATATAATATGTTAGAAATAATTAAACCTTGCTGACACTTGGATTAATCTTAGTAATATATGTATAAAAGAGGAAAAGATGAGAAAAGGAAAAAAAAAGAAACAATTATGAGGTGTAGGAAGACATAAGGAACTTGTATCCTGTTGTTGAATAGACAGTGAAGCAATTAGATATCACCAAGAAAAAACTGTTGATGTAGGTATAAGTGACTAAAAAACATGAAACATTATAAAAGCAAATGCACAAATCTTAGTCGTGCAGCTGTATCTGTGCATACACACATGCATATCTGGTATATATTCCTACGCATATAATAAATACACACATAGTGTTTATTGCATAACCCCCAAAAAGAGAATTATTAACCAAGTTTTTGGTTGGAATGAAAGTTTTAAATCGGATTGTTTATACTGCTGTCTTTAACCCTTTGTGTTTAGAAGCCTCTGTGTTCTCGGGATGCTGACAGGGTGCTCATGCCTCTCCCTCTGTTTTGTGACAGCCTTTGGTTCCCAGCCCATGCTCCTACCACAGGCTGTGCTATTTGCTTTACACCGTTCACCTGTCAAACTACAGCACTCTCACATTGTGTCTGTGCCTCTGCTCTTCCAGAATTCTTTTATGGCCTCAACTTTGGTGTTCTCCAGGAAATAGGCAAGAAGCAGCCCCCTCACCCCAGTATACCATTCTCCTGGCTTTTCTCTGCCCTTTGTGGTTGGGCATCACTTCAGTATCCCTGTTTGCTGATTTTCTGTCTCACGATTTTCAGTGGCTTCTAGGGACTTGAGGAAAAAAGCCATAGCAGGCATTGAACGGGAGTGTTTTTTTGTGTGTCCCAGCTCTCAGCTTCTTGCCAGTCTTTCTTCAGTACACAATTTCAGTGGGAGGAACCACAACTAGCTGTACTGTTATCACTCCGGCATCTTCACTTCACTCATTCTTGCAGGACCTAGCCACGGCAAGCCCCTGCATTTCTCACTATCTCATGGACTCCACCATGTGTAGTTCCAGGCCCTTAGCTAGGACCCTACATTCTACCTCTCTTTGTCTCTGGGGTCACTGGTCCTATCTCTAGCACTGCCCTCTGAGTGACTCTCCTGTTTGTGCTCTCCACTTTGCTCTAGTCAGGGGAGGCTCTCCCCAATAAATATCTCATTCACTGGTTCCAAGCCCCAGCAGGAGAAAAAGTGGGCCTGGAGACAGCATCTGTTGGCAGCCACTATACTTCCTTTTTCCCTCAGAGAAATTTGTATGTTTCCCGAAGATGACATATCCTCCAAATGTGGGTTATGCACAACCTCAGAAATCCAGCAGTGGCCCTGCTTCTTCTTCTTCTTCCTTCAAATTGCTTAGCTGGGGTTGGGCTCCCATTTGTCCCCAAAGCTGTATACCTAGTAAACTTGGTGAGTGTCCCTGTGGGTGAACTTGGTGAGTGTTCCTGTGGGTGCTGCTGTCTCTAGTCTATGATAATTAAACACGTATTTCTTCTGTAAGGTGATATCTTTTAGATACTTGGTGGCCTTTTATATATGTATATCCTTCATGGCTTGGGCAGTTTTACGGATGCTCTTAGAGTCAATGTGAAGATTTGAACCACTATTTGCATGATTTTGTGGGGTTTTCTGGGTCAAGAAAATAGCAAACCATTTTCACAGGTCACCTCAGGCTGCTTAAATGAAGAGCATAAAGTTTATTTAATAAACACGATTTATTCAGCACTATTAAAGAATATAACAAGGAGTATCCACCCCACCTCACCCCTGAAAAAAACAAAGCTCACTTTTTTGGGCATCAACATTTTTATTTAAACAGTCCCAAGATAAATCATACATATTTTCTTTCTTTCTTTCTTTCTTTCTTTTTTTTTTTTTTGGTACCTGGGAATCGAACTTGGGTTCTTGTGCTTGTGAGGCAGGTGCTGGAACCACTGAGCTAACTCCCCAGCACCCATGTTTTCTTGTTATAGATGCATCCCTTGGCCTTTCAATGAAGGGTAATCATGAATGTCACCTCCAAGAAGTTTCTTTTGATACTTCCTAGCGGATTTACTTGTATCACATAAAGAATTCACCTTTATGTCTCATTAGTAATTTGTAGACATCCAATAACAGAATGGTTGAATAACTTGTAATATGACTTGTTAGTTGTGGAGCTGGGATTTTACTTTGAATCTGTCAGATTCCATACATGCTGATTGTTTTTTGGTTTTGGGTTTTGTTTGTTTTAGGGTTTTGTTTTCCATCCTACCCTTCCGTTTTTATTTTTCAAGGATAATTCTCTTAAAGTCTTGACTTTATTAATTTTTATTGTCTCTTTTTTTCCTATGAAAAATCATACTGTGACAACCAGTTTGGGACTTAATTTTTTGAGACAGGGTCTCTCTTGGTATGGTAGTCCAGGCTAGCCTCAAATTTGTGATTCTCCTGCTGTAGCCCTCCCAAATGTTAGGACCACAGATGAGATGTGGGCAACCATACCCAGCTGGTTGTGTTCTTAACTACTAAATGTCTGGCTTCCTAATTATAGCTTATGAAAGGTGATCAGTTGATCTGTCAAGTTACAGGTGTATAGTTATGAAATTTCTCGTGCACTAATACTTGTAAGGGAATTCATTCTTATTAACACTTAGAATTTCTTCAAATCCATAGGATTATTATACCATTGTAAAAAACCCAATGGATTTAAATACGATTAAGAAACGATTGGAGAATAAATATTATGTGAAGGCTTCGGAATGTATAGAAGACTTTAATGTAATGTTCTCAAATTGTTATTTATACAACAAGGTATGTAAGCCTTATATTGCTAATTCTTTTTTTTTTTTTTTTTTTTTTTTGTTTCTATTTTTTTTTTTTTTTTTTTTTTTTTTTGGTACCGGGGATTGAATTCGGGTCCTTGCACTTGCAAGGCAGGCCACCAAACCCCTGAGCTAAATCCCCGGCCCTATATTGCTAATTCTTTACTTTTACATATAGGAGAGATATATGTTATGTAGTCCAGGCTGGCCTTAAACTCACTGTGTAGTTAAGGCTATCTTTGAACTCATTGTTCTCCCGCCTCAGCCTTCTGAGTTCTGGGATTATAGGCATGCACTGCCATGCCCAAACAGACACATTCTTTAATACACATTGCCATTGATCTTCCTCAAAATATTCCCCTCAGTTTCAAACACCCTGATCCTGTTGTTTTGCCCACTATGTGAAGCAGTTCTGGAAGTCGTCTTTTGTGAGCATTTTTTACAAGGTCTCATAAAAAATACAGTGAGTGCCACTGCCAAATGCCATCCAACAGGAAGGCAGGCTCATGAAAACATTTACTACGTATCCTCTGCCACTTAATTTGCCTACTCACTGGATCTAGCACTGTGGAACTTCTGACTGTTCCCTACGGTCACAATGGCCATGAAAGGTAAATGCTTTGAATCAAGTCAGGACACAGGCAGCCATGACAGCATAGCTAAAGATACAAAAGAGGGCTTCCAGAACTGCTTCAGAAAGTGACAAGAATGATGGCATAAGTGTGTTCGAAGTGAGGAGGGTTTAATAGCAGTGCATCATTAACTGTGATAGTCTTTCTTAAACGTAAATATTTTTCAAGCATACCTCATGTGGACATTTTGAACTTGTCTTCACATTTGTTCTCATCTGTGAAATTGGATTTATGTATTTAGATTTTCTTCTCTACAACATTCCTGTTTCCACAGTATCTTATCCTTTTGATCTGTTTCATGGTATCTAAATATTATAAGACTTACATCCTATTAAAATATGAGACATCTAAGTATTTGGCATTTAGTTTGTACAAAATCACTCACTAGTGATGACTGTAATGCAAAAACATTTGTGATTTGGTTCCCAAGGTTATTATTAATGCCACCTTACATGTATAAAATATTTATAACTGTTAACTGATGTGAGTTTTTTAAAAATAATTATCAGTGGTTATCAATACCATTCAACTTTTTATCTTTTTTTTCTTTCAGTACTGGGGATCGAACTCAGGACCTTGCACTTGTGAGGCAGGCACAGTGCCGCTGAGCTAAATCCCCAGCCCTTCTATCTTAATTTAAAAGCAATTCCAAAGTGTTCTTTACATTTAATACTTTAAAACCAAGTTCAGTAGTTTTCCTTAGCTGCCAGATTTAGAAATAAATGTTCTGAGTTTAGGCCATTACTTTTTAACTTACTTATTTTTTTCTCAACAGTGAAATAAAGCTTAATTGGATAAGATTTTTAAATTGAATCAGCACTGAATTAATTTAACAAATTTGAAACTTAGAATGTAGTAATTGCTTCTAGTCAAACAATGAAGTACTTGGCCCAGTAATAAATACATTTCATTATAACCTATTGAGGAATAGAAATTCTTTGTATTACCTTGTTGTAGTAGTAGGATTGGTTGAATTATACTTCTGGTGCGCAGGCATTCTGGTCCTTTTTAGAAGTTGAAGGAATAAAATGTTAGAATTTAATGTTCACTATTTTGTAAACTTAATTTAGCAAAAATAACTAACACCTAAGAGTACTATATCACTGCCTTCTGTAAGTTAGCCTGAATTTTAAAAATTTGATACAATGGTCATGTTATATAATCTCTGTGATATATTTAATACATTTTTTTAGCCTGGAGATGACGTTGTTCTTATGGCACAAGCTCTAGAGAAGTTGTTCATGCAGAAATTATCTCAAATGCCACAAGAAGAGCAAGTTGTGGGTAAAGAAAGAGTAAAGAAAGGTAAGCCAAGAAGAGTTTCAATCTCTCCTGTGTATATGAACATAAAATCCCTCAAAGGAGGCAGACATCCAGAAATTCTTCTACATCCTATTATATTAGTGCAAATGTCCTTTTAGTCTGCCAAACCTTAATCACTAATATGGTCGTCATGCAAGAGAAGGGAAGATTGCATTGATAATGGGGTTATAGACAGGTTTCCTATGGCTTAGTGATATTCATAGAATAGGCAGCCAATAAGTCATACCTGCTATTATTACTGTCTTCAGTACAGCTTATAACTGTGCTGTACTGATAAGAACATACTCATTTCCAATAGATCTCATAGCTAACAATGAAATGTTGCTGCTGAGTCTGAACATTGTCTGTCTAGCTTTGCTTATAACTTTAAAAAAAGTTTTAGAAGGAACATATTTACATATAATCATCATGTTATTTAAATATGGACTTACTGTGCCGTGCCTGCCTGGCAAGTGCAAGGCCCTAAGTTCAATTCCTGGTACCAAAAAACAAAACAAAACAAAAAAGCTAAATATGGAGTTGTGCCAGGCCTGGAGGTACACACCTGTAATCCTAGCACTCTGAGAGGCTGGGGCACGAAAACCACAAGTTTGAGCCTAGCCTAAGAAACTTGTTGATTTGGCAAGACCCTATCTCAAAATTTAAAAAACAAAATTTTCAAATGGCTGCGGATGAAGGCTTAGGTCTAATCCCCAGTACCATAAAATAATATGGAGAGTTTTAAGAATGCATATAGATTTACTGCAGAGGCTAACTAAAAATGTTATAGATCAAATGTCAGTTCATGGGTTTTTTTGTTGTTGTTTGTTTGTTTGTTTTGAGACAGGGTCTCACTATGTAGTTCAGATTTCTCTGGAACTCACTGTGTAGTCCAGGCTGGTCTCTAACTCACAGTGATCCTCCTGCCTCAGCCTCCCGAGTGCTGGGATTACAGGCGTGCACCACCACGCCTGGCTGTCAGTTCATGTTTGGATCATTAAAAAGCTATGTAATCTTGAATAAGTTCTTTAATCATTCCATATTGGTTTCCTCACCTATAACATCAGAAAAATATTTGTTTTTCATGGTTGTAATTGTGTAGGTATGGCTAAGTGCCTGGGAAATAGGTTTAGAGTTAGTTAATGATAGAGATTGTTTTTATTGATAGTTCTATGTATATTTTTTCTTTATTCTTAGTAGATCCTTAAGATGGGTGGGTCATGGATTGTAATTTGTTGTAATCAATTCAGTGAGATTGTCACTGTCTATTACAGTGCTTATTTTATTCTTAGTTTGCAAAAGGTTGGTTTTGAGCCAGATAATGTAAATACCTGCACTTCTACATGAGGATTAAAATAAATCCAGAAAGGTAGATATTTATTCATGGATATAATTCATATGCTTATAACTATTATACTTATACAACTCTTCTTAGCATACTGAAGTGTCTGTACTAGTACAAAAATATTATTTTTGCCTATTTTATTGTGTAAAATGGCCTGTGAAATATTTCGCTGTGTTTTTATGTTTGTTCTTCAAACCCTTTCTAAATGTAAACATAGTTGAGGTGTAGAACCTGCAGTGTGCACAAGGCCCTCGGTTCAACACCCAGTATAAAAAAATAAATAGATTAAATATTTTAAAAATTGTTTTCTCCAGACTTATATTTTTAGAATTTCAGTGTTTTGGAATTTAGACTTAAGAGATTTTGAACTTTGAATATTTCAGCATTTGGGACTATATCTTTTCACATTGTGGTTCAAATCCAATAAAATTGACCTAATATTAGCAACAGTATGTATGGGAGAATTTCAAAAAATGGGAGTGTGTTTGCTTTATAAGTACTTATTCTAAATATAAGTATATTTATATGTATTATATGGATTATACAAATGTAAGCACTTATATTTAGAATAAGTACTTATATAACTAACTACTTTTCTAAAAAACAGAGTTAAACTAGAATGTAAGAGAGAAGAATGGTACTTCATGCTTATTCAAATATTTGACTGTTCATCTTTCACTAGGCACCCAACAGAATGTATCAGTTTCTTCTGTTAAAGAAAAACCACCCCCCAAAATAACGGAAATTATATTTAAGCAGCAAGAGATTCCCTCTGTACTTCCTGAGACTTCTGTCTTTCCCTTAAACATGGCACAAGAGGCTCTACTCCACTCTAGTTCACAAACTGTGGTCCAGGTAAGTTTTTTTGTTTTCTTTTTTTTGAAGCTAATCACAGATTTATTGGTACAATCTAGGTATACAATACAATTACATTCATCATTGGGATTCTGTACCTTTACATAATAGGTCTTGATTCTCATTTTTTTCCCCTTGTCCCTGCCCTCCCTTCACCCCCTCCTCCCCTCCCCATTTACAAACGCTTTATTTCCATTTTTTCAGTTTCTCATATTTTTTTCCTCTCCCTTATTACCTTTCCCCCACCCTTCCC